GAGAGAGAGAGAGAGAGAGAGAGAGAGAGAGAGAGAGAGAGAGAGAGAGAGAGACCCAAACCATGGACATATTACATCTGGTACACAGTAACCCCCGTTACAAGAAGAAACTGTACACATTTATAAATAAACAGCTCCCCACAGGGAATACACACTTTATACCAAAGTCTCTTTCTTTTTGCCACCTGACTGCACTTTGTCCCTTGCTCTCCGTAAGCCAGGCTGGGGTCGCTGTGCCTTCACGTTCCTGGTGTCTTCCCCTGTCTGTACACTGGAGCCACACTCCAGCGCACTTTCCGCGTCTACCTGCATGACACCAGGAACCACGCATGACCGTCGCTGGGCTCTGAGATTCCCAGCAGAAGGGTTGTTCTCTTCACACTCTTCGTGAAGGTCTGGCAAGCCCTGCAGCTCTAGGGGGCTGGCGGCCCGCTGGAAAGGGGCAATGGCCGAGCGAATACAGTTGAACCACTGCTGCTTATGGAACACGTCATTGGCTTGCAGTGTGTGGGACTGGCCTGGAGAAGGGTCTTGGAAGCGGACTCTAAAGATATTTTTAGCTGAAGGGAGGAAAAAAGAAATCAAGACTAAGAAAGTGGTCATGTAGTCTTAAAGAAAGTTCCAGTACTTATGAGACACACACATTGTTAAAGACAGCTGCTAGCTAGAAGTCCCTGACCAAAACTCAATGCTATGCCAGTACATAACTAGGGAATGGTTGTATTTTCAAACCTCTAAGGGTTGAGTCTAATTTCATTTAGGGACATTTGTTTCTTCAGTGTTGCTTTTCAAGATGGGGTCTCACCCTGTAGTCCAGGTTAGCTTCAAATGTGCGGCCATTCTGCTTCCCCCCTTCTTCCCTGTCTGACTTGACTCCCCTGTGTAATCATCCTAGAGCGCCATCTTACCTTTGTCTGAGTTGCCGAAGGCCCCTCGGAAGGAGCCGCCCATGCGTACATCCCCATCCTGCAGGTCTTCCAGCACCAGCTCCTGGACTGGGATGGGCTGCCGGTAAACCTGGTAGGAATGGCGCTCATTTCGGGTGACAGGCCGAGTCAAAACCAAGATGTCTTGAAATAAGAAAATGTACAGTTTCTGCAGAAATGAAGGAAAAAAACATCCAAAACTTCCTAAATAAAGGATTTAATTGTCAAAGAACTAGATTTTTAAACTGCATTTAGATTTTCCTAACTTCTCCTTTACCCATGGTCTATAACAGTGATCTCACAGCTTTCCAGGTGTGACTTGGAGCGGCCAAGCTCAGGCTACCTAGAGCCCTCCTCTTTTCTTCCATCAGGACACACTACCAAGTTAGGTAACAGCTAAGCAAATGCGATGTATCTGAAAGACCTGATGTCAGCACAAACTAGTTTCAACTCCAGTACTGTGCACTGCAGTTTCCAAGACACAGGGATCCCAAGTGCGTGCTGCTACAATGTTCATGGTTCTGCTGTGTCTACACAAGTCTAAGCCTTCATAGAATAATTAGGCTCTGTGACAGAAATCAGATAGGCTGGATTTCAACTTTTTCTCAACAACCAACCCCCAACTTACAAATGGAGCTGTTGGAAAGCACATATAAACCAAAAATAGCATTCACAACTCCTTAGTTCCAGAAGGTTCTTTTGTAATTAATATTTAAAAAATAAAACTGCTCTTACTTAATCTGCTGCAAAATTTGAGTGGGGCTAAAACCTCTGCCCCTGCTAGAAGACACCACTCCCAAGGCTAGCGCTCATGAAACATTATGGACAGGAGACCCAGCACGCACAGGCTCACAGTTCGCAAGTGGAAAAGAAGGACTGCTAGTTGAGATGTTTAAGTCTTCTTATTTGCTTTATCAAAGCTGGTCACATAAACAAGTATTAACCTTCTTGCTGCAAGCTGCAGGCTTATTTTTAAAAACCCGCCTCATAATTTATGTGCAAAACTTGAGGTGGGGACAGGGAAGTAATGGCTTCATTCCCGCTCACACTGCAAGCACTCACATGGCCACTTTTATTCTTTAGCTCCCCGTGGCACAGCAACACCTTGCTCGCTTCAATCCTGGGGTCCTTCTGCTTCTCATCCAGGTACTCCAGCTTGTCGATATAATACTGACACTCAGATTCACCTTTCTTCAAGTTGATGTCAGAAAGAACTCCCTGTATTATCAGTATCTAGAAATGATAAAGACGGAAGAATAAAGTCAGATGGAGCAACTGCTGTCTATCTACCAGCCCC